ACAGTTTGAGTGTACCTCTGGAAGGTCACTTGGGGTCTTGAGGGTTGAAACCTGGGCATTGAATATAAGTTCATGGGGCTGTTATCTCAGCTCTTGATGATGATGACAAGACTTCCGTACCCAAACACATTGTGAGATTGTGAGCAATGACCCGAGGATAGTTTGGTAAGCTGTAATGAACTACCACCCCCCTCTCACTTCACAATTGGTTGTAACTGCGTTACAGGTATTGGAATATGCAGCTCAAGCCGTTCGTTCTGTCTGTATTGGGACCAGGTCAAAGACAACAAGACCAAAAGAGTGCTGGTGAGCTCTTGCGAGGGAGAAGACTACGGCCGCTGAACTGAACCAACAGACTGAACTCATCTTCGCAGAGATGACCAACAGTACCCGTTCATCTCATCACGTTGCATCATAGAACAAGCAGAAAAATCCTGCATCCAACACAGCCAAACTCCAACGTTCATTTCACCCTCATCTTCTACCAGTACACACCCAAGCAGACTATAAATATCAAACTAGCCCTCACCTCCACGCTCAACCTCCCAGGACTCACACGACAACCGACCGAGATACGTATAGAGGACACTATCAAGCAGAAGAGCAAAGCAACGAGACACTATGATGATAATGATCATGTGAAGAAGAGGGAAAATAAAATCGTTTTAGACACTTTTGCTAGCCCTTTTTTTTCTCTTTCCGCAACCTGGAGGGGACCCGGTTGCGCCGAAAGAAAAACATCAAACGCAACCAAAGCCTACAAAAACCGCCATCAAACAGTGCCCCAACCCCTTTTCCCATTCAGTTGAGTAACCGCCCCGTCCAGATTGCCGTTATGTGGTGATGTATTTCGTAGTGCGGACCAGAGAAAATGGAGTCATAAGATCAAAACGGACGTGTCTGATCTTAACATCAAGGATAGATGATTTCCGAGATGAGGAAGCATTTTAGTTGCCGCCGAGGCTGGGGAAAGCGTTCTCATCGTTAATGGAAACGGGAGCAGCCTGAGAGGCACCGCCACGGGGAGCACCGCGGGGAGCACCGCCGCCACGGGGGCCACCACGGCCACGGGCACCACCACGGGGACCATCACCACGACCACCGCGAGCACCGCCACGGGGAGCGCCATCACGGGCACCACCACGGCCGCCACGGCCACCGGTGCGCTCGGGTTCGACATAGCGGTTCTCAATCTCGACGAACTGCTTCTGCTTGCGCTCACGAGTGCGCTCCTTCTTGCCACCGCTGGCGGCGACGTAGTCCTCCTCGGTCTTCTTGGCGACGACCATGCCCTCGGGCTTCTCGGCCTTGACCTCACGGGGCTTGAGAGCCTCGAACTTGGGCTTCTCCTTGTAGTAGTCCTCGAGGGTCTTCACGACGGGCTCGGGCTCCTGCTCCTCAGCGGGGGCAGCGGCCTCATCCTCCTTCTTCTCGACGGTGGCATCGGCCTCGCCAGCCTTCTCGTCGTTGAGGGCTTTCTCACCATCCTCACCGCCCCAAGCCTGCTCGGCGGTCTTAGCGGAGCCACCACTAGAAACCTGTTAGTATCATGTCCCGTATCTGAGTGTCGGGGGCCGAGCCAAAACATACTGAGGAGCGGCCTTGTGGGGGTGACGATCACCCTCGGGGCGCTTGCCACGGAAGCCACCACGACGTCCGCCACGGACCTCATCGGTGGGCTTACCGCGGTTGGAATCGCGGCCGGCGTTACGGTCCCGGAAAGCTGTTGGAAACAAGGTCAATAAAAGGCCAATATCTGAAGACATCGGAACAGCTACACACCAGCCTCGTTGCCAGTAGCGGCGTTGCGGCGGTTGCCACCAGCGGGGGCAGGGCCCTTGGAGGGAGCTACGCCATCGGTGTTGCGCTTGGCAGTGTGTGTCGATGTCTTTTCAACAGTCTTGACGGGAGGAGGGATAGGAGGTTCCTCGTCATTGCCTATATCGTTGACAGCCTGTCAGTCACTGCCCATCGTCTGCCAAACAAAAAAAATAGTCCCTGCTCAAGCTCAAGCTCGAAGCTCGAAGCTCATCCCATCCGTTCCCGAGGGCTCCGAAGGCCAAGGTGCTCGAGGTTCGTTTCGGGTGGCGAGAACTCGCGGGGAAGGAGAGAGGTATAGCAAGGGAGACCAACCGAGAAAGGGCGAAAAGGGT